CATTTTTTAATGGTGATAAATAGACTGCGGATTTTTCATGCGTTTATGAAATAATTAAATACGCTGCAAGTACAAACGTGATGTCTACAAGTATACAAAATATTGCAGTGCTTAAATGATAAACGAAATTGCAATCTGAAATGTACCTTCCTAACTGACTACTTTAAATCTCCTGTTTTGCATGAAAATTTGCTGTCTAATGATGAAACATTGATTTATATGACTCGGATGATTTGTTGGATCCGGATGTATCGAAACGATTGCGAGGGAGGGCGGCCTAGGTAAAATCGAGACGCGGTGTGATGCACCGAATAGCATTTGTGTCGCACGCCCGAATAATTGATCGTCCTTTCACGTGCCACACCGGACGTAAAACGAGGAGCCGCGGTAAAATCGTTCCTCGAATAGGATACGTTAATATTCATGATCGAGATTCCCCGGGCTTGCCGTGCCAACAAGCATTTATTTTCACCTTTCATCTAACTATGACTTCGTTTTTCTTTAAGAACAATTACTTTAATCATATATTATTTCCTATATGATTTTATCCACTGCTTTACATGCTGTTTCATATATTCATTTCGTGCATTCGTACAATTTATAAATTGTATCGATCTGGGAATTAAATACAAGCTGTGAAAGAAGACTAACAGAAAAATGATGGACAGTGCGAGATAGTCGCGTGTTCGCGGACGCAGTCCACCGTTAACATCAACAATTTTCACCACCAGATATCAACACGCGATATCCGAAATCGCCGTTTCACCTCGTCGGATTCCATGACGATGGAAAATCACTGGAAAAATTAGTCTCGTTCATCTCTTCAAACAAATTCAGATCTACTGTCCCTGGCAGAAAACGTCGAATCGCTGCGTTAATATAAATATGAATAGTAAGAAATTGGAGAACGATTTTAAAAACAAATCTTACATCTTATTGCAAATCCAGTCGAAGCATTTTCGATATTGTGAGCGAGGACGGTTTTAAAATTGAAATGACAACACTAGAACGTTTGCATGGTGTATCTTGTTGGAAAATCAACAGGATTTTAAATATCGAACTCGTTCAATCTCATTTTGTTAGAACCTTTCCCAGTGTTTACCAATCACCTGTGCCGTGAAGGATACTAAATCAAAGGATGAAAGGAGAGAAGTGTCAACCCTTTGACAAGTGCTTCGAACAAGATTTAGAGATCGACTGGTGGCCAGTTGTTTGGCTAGAATCCTAATAATAACGGAACACAGTGTTGCACCGGCGGTCCCACGGGTAGGTACCTTGTCTATTTAGAAATAGGCGTTACACGTCGGCATTGTGCACCGGCGTTCCAGGAGAAAACCAGAAAATATCATTGTCCCGCAGACAGACGAATTCCCAGTTGCCCTTGGACATTTGGTTGCCAAAAACGTTCACCGAAAATCGATTCGATTGTAACATCACGTACGGAATATCTCAACAGAGTCCCGTGTTTGTAAGACACATAACTTTCTTTTTTATGTGAAATAATTTTGCTGTTCGAGTTCATAAAAAGACGCTATTAAAACATCGATAAGTTCATGTGTACATAAAATATAATTTAAATTGTGACCAGGAAAAACAAGATTACTATCCCTAGGGCCATACTTAGAAATTTGATGATCGTAGCACAGTATCGAACCGTTTAATTTTCCAACTCGATAAACCCGACACATAACACATCGCCGCTAATTAACAGAGGCCGGCATGTATAATTCATGTGCTATTTGCTAATGGGGACAGAAATATACTCTCGAACAGCGTTCGCGCCGCGAAATTTCATACGCGTCATGTTTAGCGTTGTAAAACATCTGAATGTGATAGTTTTACCGAGAGGATCGATTAACCGGAACCGTGAATCACATCGAAACGATCCGAACCTTTCATAAATCCTGCTGTTTCTTAAAACTGAACAAAATTCTAATTTTTTTCAAGTTGAACGAACATCAACCTGTGCATTATACTTATGTACTGAGAGATTCAATTTGTATGACACGACCTAACAAGGCTGTTGGGAGGGTGACATTTTTTTTGTAGGAAGGGTTGAATCCGACAGGGCAGGATGGAGACAGGCCGATTTTCTTGTTAAATCGCTTGCAGACGCTTTATCTTTAGAAGCCACAGACAGTGGCAGCCAGTTTTTTTGTCCTTAACGGAAATAGCTATCATTCTATGCGCCTTTAGAATGAACCGGCAATACTCCACAAAATTTATTTTCGACGTGTGTGTAGGTTTACGTATCCGCCGTCTGGCCAGAATAATCGTCCCGGGGATGATCAAAGGGGACGATAAACCGGGAAATTCGCTACATTTCAACCCCATCATCGCCCCCTATCAATGCGACGTTCTAATCTAATCAGCACAATAATCGTCAAAGTATGAATGAAAGTGTAAAGAAAATTTTTCAATTGCGTCCCACACGAATTTGTAATTCGATATTAAAAAGTATTTTTACGTATGCCATGTTCACAATATCAAAGCTGATCCTATTGGAAGTGTATTGATGAGTAGAAAACAGGCAGACGCGGATGTTGACTCACTGCCACTCTCACTTTTTGCGATTTGCATCAAATCTCTTGTCTGTTACATAGGCGCCTATTTGCGTCGCGCGAACCATGCAGAGAAAAAAGATCCGCGATACATCTAGTTAGAGTCTGGGATCTACACGAAATTTTTCACCGAAACGCGTTCCCTTTCGGTGAATCAGAGCACCGTGCGACGACGGGTAGGTAAATTCCCGAGCCGAGTTCCTGAGCCTCTATACGCTTCTATTTATATTTTGATACGCGTATCTGCGCCCGATTTTTGCGTAGAGGTTTCTCATTCATTCGTCCGGTGAATTAATCTACAATAGACGCCACGCAGGGACCGTTTACCTATGCTTCTACGCTTAAGAATTAACGCCAATCACGTTTTAATGTAAATCGATAGCCCAAAGGGTTAAGTCCGATTAAAAAGCCTTCGTTTACAATCGGTATTAGATGAATCAGTATTAGGTTGCTATCAGATAAGCGTTATCGCAAGAAGTCACCTCAGTCCCAAGAACGTGACGCATTGAAAAGGAAATGAAACTTTGTTTTATTTCGTATCAAAATTCGATTCATGCTTCTTCCGATATCAAATACATCGTTCGTCTAAATACCTTTGAAGCCTTGATAAGCGAATGTAAGGACACGTGGTTGCCATGTTTTGAAAGCGGATTTGAAAAACGAATTGCAAACGGACAACAGTTCGTTGCGAAACCGGCGACAATAGCGATCATTAACATCGCTATGAGAAGAATTGGTACTGCTATGTAGAAGAGGCCACGGATTGCCGTAATCCAAATAATTACTATCATAGTTCTATTCAGGAGAAAATTATTTTTGCATGACACAGGTTTAAGTTCTTGGTAACTTTTGATTTTTATAAGAAAACGTGAATGGAAGTGTCTTATCTTTACGCGAAGTTCGATAAACGTAAGAAATTTATTTGAAATCCATGAGTTTCTTACAGATTTCAAGGTGTGACTAATCATCTTCGTCGAACGAACCGCGTAATCAATGTAAATAATTAATGAAGTGATCGTAAAGCACTTCCCGTTTATTACGAATCGAGTTACTCGATAAAATTAATAAACGGAAGTCTTATCAGCAGTTTAAGCAAGGAGATTAATTCTTATTGTGACAAGGTCACAATAATTCGTTTCCTTAGATGAGAAGAAAGTGCAGCTTACGTTGCAACTCAATAGCATAAAATACAAGGAAACAATAATGACGAAGTATGACAATATTTCTTGACAGAGTCCAATGGAAAAATTTTCATTATGGATTATTGTAAATCTTAAATAGTAAATCTAATTGAAAATATTAAAAGATCTATATTAAAGTAAGAAGTTCAAGCTTTAAGGGAAAAATGCAGTAGTAAGTACTGTTACCTTTATACCGTTAAAACGATGTAACCGAAGTCTTATCAGCAATGAAATACAGGAGAATAATTCTTATTCCAACAATGTGACTATAACTGAAAGTGCAGCTTTGTTCATAACTCGATAGTATAAAATACAGCGAAAGAATAATGGTGCAGCTTTAAGGGAAAAAGGCAGTAGTAAGTACTGTTACACTTACAGAGATAAACCGATGACAACGATCGTCGACACGGATTAGACAAGGAACAGCGTGGGTGGAGAGGTTAATTTTACTCGACGCTATGGAAATTCGAGTCGATACGTCAAATCCTCTCCGCACGAGATACACGCGAACTCGTATAATACCGCGGCGCGGCTACGCGAGACCGTCTCTTCGCGTTTTTGTTTCTCTTATTCTGTCTACGTCGTCCGCTGTACGCTTCCATTTAACAGCTAGCAGTAAGCGGTGCACTGACTCGAAAGTCTGGGAATCGAAACCACACGGATTCCCCGGTATTCGCGACGCGACTAGACGCGAGAAAATAGCGAAATTTTCACGGCCCGTAGAGAGAGAGAAACCTCACCAGAACGAGAGCATCCTGTATTAAGGACAGCCGCCCGAGCACGAGCAAAATGATTCACATTAAACATACTTATTGTGCAATCATTGTTGCTATCGATGATCAGTGTTAAAGTATCTGTTTAAAATAACTGTTATGATAAATTAATCAGACTGTAGAGACTCGCGGAGCAAAGCATGCTCGAATTAAGTAAGATACGATTTTGTTAGAATGTTTGAACAACGTGTACAGTAAATTATTCTTATTGGCAATTCTTATCGAGGATTCTTATTGGCGAACGAAATCACGAGGATGATCGTCGTTAGTTTTTTATGGTTCTCGCGTGGCTGTCTCTTCTCTAACCCTCGCGAAGCGAAATGGATTTTGACAACGCGACCCGTCAATCGTGCCGGGTTATCGTATCGCGCTTATGACTAGTAGAGATGGATTGCGTGTGCTAACCTGAAAGTCTAGCGAGGAATCGAAGCATGCCAGCGGCGGAAGACAGGCAATGAGCCGCGGTTCCAGCGACCAGAATTCCACCGGCGATCGGCATTTGTATTTTCCTCCTCTTTCCCCAATATTGTCCTTGCGTGTATGTATGCGCGTAGAACGTCGGTCTGCTGGCCTCTCTCGCTCGTGTCTGCGTTCCTCCTCGCCCGTATACGCCGCGAGAAAAAGAGAGCGAGATAGAGAGGCGGGGGAGAGAACGAGTCGTCGGGATAGACGAGGACGGAGTCGCGGCGGCCGGGGGTGACGCGAGTCCTAGCCTAACCTAACCTCCCTTCCTCGTTCGGCGTAAAGTTGTAAAGGGACACACAGAGGCACACCGCACCACAGGACGAAACGCGAACGACGGTATCCACCGTTTTTCGAGACACGGTGCAGCGACTCCGAGACGCGGACAACAACCGGTCGCGCACTAAAGCGAGAATCGGTCCACGGCACACACTGTTCCCATGCCCGTGATTTTTTTCTCTCCTCCCTCTGCGGTTATCCTCTTCTCTCTTCCCTTTTGACACTCCCGATTCTCGGCAGCCGGTTTACGTTTACGTGTCGCGTACCAGCAGCAGCGGTAGGACGGTGTGCGCGCGTGCCGTGCCGTGCCTTGCCGTGTCGCGCCAGTGAAAACTCTGCTAGCGCACAGGCAGGAATGGTTGTGTGTATGTACGGACTGAACAGACGTACGCCCCAGCGGGATAGATAAATTGGCCTTCAGTGAGAGAGAGGGAGAGAGAAACAGTCCATTAGAGGGGCGGAGGGGAAGGGAGAAGCGCGTACGACGGCGTAAACTCCGACCACGACCTCTCGGATAGAAAGAGACGCGGCACGGCTCCTTTTGCGATCTTTCTGTCTCTCTTCGGGTACTCTCCGCATACACTCTTAACTTGACACACGACGTTGTTACGATTCACGCGCTCGTTCGATTCTCGTGCTGCTGTTGAGGACTGCTCATAGATCCGGGCGGGCACACTTAGGAACTTTCGTTGAAACGATACGGAATGTACACGCGCGGTACACCGCGACCGTACGCTTCGAAACGCGACGTTTACTCTCCCGTAAGGCCACGAAACTCTCACCTTCTCCCGTGAGTCGCTCCGCGGCGAGGATAACCAAGATACGCGGGGACGACGCGCGCCGTCGGTGCGATACAACGTCTCTGTACAATTGTCCCTTCGATGCTCGTTACGGGGTTACTCGTTCCCGCACTTTCTCGACATGTCATCGTGATCGCGATGTTGTTTCGCGGTGCTCGTGGGCCCCGACGGGCCCTCGCCGGTTCTATTGGCAGCGTACACTGCACTGTCAGACACGGGCCACGATAGAACATCCGAGCGACGACTGAGTACTGACTCCTCCACTCGCAAACCACCGGCAACGTTGCCACATCACTCCCGGGTCTCGATCGGACAAGTCTTCGGCTACCGACGGACAGGTACGGCGGTCACTGCGTTCTTGGTGCTGCTGCCGCGCGATCGACTGTTCCATTCGATTTCGTATTCTCCTCTCTTTCCTTTCCTTGCAGTTCGCTTCGCAGCCTCTGCTTTCCTTCCTTCCCGTTTATCTCGTGTCCCGCGTCCCGTTCGCCAAAGACCAAAAGTCGTTCTCCACTTCGCCGCCGAGTTGTCACCGCGGACTCGAAGCCTTTCACAGACTTCCCTCTCGCATCGCTGCCTTGAGTCGAATCGAATCGTACGCGACGACCAGAAGAAGGGTCACGCACGCCAACTGATCGCTGTTGTCGTCGTCGCTGCTATCGAACGCGGATCAGGTCGGTGCATCAAAATCCACGGAACGCCGAGATGCGTACGAACACACAGCACCGAGCTAACTGGCCACATCCACATCTGCTGCCGATTTGCTGGCAGTTCTGTTCAACTAGAAGCGGCGCGGCCGGCCAGTCTGCTCCCTCGTTTTCTTACTCTTGCTCGCTCTCGCCTACCAGCAGCCTTCTTGTGCCGTGATCGGCCGTGCCTACTACTACCTCTCTCGTGCTCGTGTTCCTACCTTTCTCGTTTCCCGCCCCTGTCACCGCTCACCGTTCCTTCTCGTTTCCTCTTGTCCTTTCCTGCAGCTCGCCTCTCATTCACTCGCCAGATCGCTTTCTCCATCCTTTGTCGATCCCCGGCGCTTCCACTCGTTCCGTTCGCCTTCCTATGGCGATCCTCGTTCGATCCCTGGCCCTCTCGCTCTCCGTCGAATGAATGGTTTTAGTTCGGAAGGGCGTCCGCGGGCCGGAAACGGCCGATCGCATCCGGAAATCACCGAGCCCGCACTTCCCGCATTAGTGCGCTTCTTGAATAAAATTCCATTCTTTCCTTCCTTTAACCACCTTTAACGTCGCGCGGCTTTACTTTCGTCGGAAATTCGTCACCGCGTGACGATTTACCGGATCTTTGAAATCCTCCCAAACTGACTGCGCACTCTCTGCATAAGATACATGATCCCGATTGTCACTTCCACGAACCTTTTCGCCTAACTTTTCGTGCGTGAAATTGTAGTAAGCACGTTTTTAACGCATGCGCTTCGTTTCTATTTAGTGCACGCGCCTACTATTATTTTCTCCTATTTTCCTTGATGCTCGTTCGATCGACGCCGCCGCGCTTCTTTCCACGGCGTAACGGTAGTTAAATAGTGTATCAGCTCGTACGCATTTGCATGGTTGCAGTATTTATGCAAATCCTTCGTATCACAATGGAGTTTACCTCTGACGCACGCATCAAAACCTTACCTTGCCCTAATTCTTTTACAGGCTATCGTTCCAATCTTATGAAACAATTTCCTAGCCGCGGAAACTTTAAGAGTACCCGTTCACCATGCTGGGTCACTCGTATGTTATTTCGTGTTCCCATGAAACTGGAGCAGTATTTCTGGCAAATTGGCGCCGATTAAAAAGAACTGCACGCGTCTGGTGAACGAAATTATGCAAGAAAAATATACCGAAACTCTTCGCTACGTGAGGGACTCGTTCCTCTTCTGCGCGTACCTTTCAAACGCCTCTGCTTCTAAAGGATACAGTTACGACTAAACTACAGATTTCACGCATTCAAATAATAATTGAATTCGCAGAAAATATGAAACATGTAATGTATAAAAACTTATTGGACATCAGGAATGTCGCGGTGACTGAATGATAAAGAAAAATTCTATTCATATACTTATTATTTGTCAAAACGATATTGTAAATATTTTCTTAATAAATTTTCATTTCCGTGAACGATGATATCGTTTTCTATCTTACCGGCTCTATAATTTCCTGGAGCGTTAGTTTTAATTCACGCCGTGATCAAAATCTGGAATTATGCAAACTGGTGCATGACGCAATGCGATGCACCGATTGATAAAACCGGATAAAACACATGGAACTGTAAACTGTAATCTGAGTCGTCGTTCAGCGCACACATAGCGGCATCTGACATTATCGTACGAACTCTCTACAGTGGAAGTTCAGCCAGCAACGATGTGTTCTTTAAAAGAATTGTTTAGAAAATCAGATTTAAATTATTTTACAGGAATTAAGAAAACCGGTTCTTACGGACTGTTCTTCAAGCATACTTATCTAGCAAGATTTGCAAGTTTAAAATGGCAGAGGTTTCTCAAGATTGCGCTCGCATAAAGGACTTGAGAAATATATTAAAAAATAGCGCGAGACTATTGAAGCATTTCGCCACGGCGATGGAACATCTGCGGAGCAATCTCGATCCTTGCGTCATTATCCTTTGTGACCGCGCATCATCGATTCACGGGTTTCCTCAACCATGGAAATTAATCAACCTTAGACCATGATCAGAGAGTTGATAATGGGAAAACGTGACGTCTGCCGTGGCCGTTCCAGGATCCATCGATCGAGAAATTCTATCATCTGCCCTGCTCGTTTCTTTTATTATTTTTTTTTTTCATTGTTTTATCGATCCGCGATTCGATCGTTGCTCGGTGAACCGATTTGTCGGTTCGGAGGGTTCGTTTATCGTCGAGCGGTCGTGAAAATAGCGCGACGGGTTCGCGGGTTTAGCTGCGGCAGCGATGCAATCAATTATCGATTAGAAAATTGAAGTTTTCAGCGATTACAGGCCTCCGTGACCGTTGCCGAACCAGACGTTACGTGCACGGCGAATCAATAATTATGCGTATCGATCACTCATTGCCGCGGTAATCCAACTATGTACGTTATCAAATAAAAATTGTGTTTGCTCCGAAATCAAATTCGTTATCCCATACCTAATAGCGGCAACAGGAAATAAATAATATCAATACTGTTTCATATGGTGAAAGAACTTGAACCTTGCTATTACATTCAATTTTCAAGTTCACCAGTAATTTCACAAACTACGAATTGGAATCGCATGTCGATTTCGGGGATGATCGAAACTGTAATCCATATTACCATTTTTAACGTGTGATAGAAATTCCTATCTAGATTTGATTTTACAACATTTGATTTTATCTCGAATGAAAATCTGCAGTCTAAATAGTAACTACCATCGAGGCAAGGTTTACCCTAGATAGATAGTAATCCGTGTCAGCAATCGATTGTCGAAACGAGTTAGGATTTGACATCGTGCCTTCTCGCAAGGATCATCGTTTGATGGGTGATGGTATAATATTCATAAGCAGGCGTCGTAGGCGCAGGCGTCGTCGATGTGTTCTCCGGCTCGTTCGACTATTTGCGCGGAAGACAATTTTATTGTTGTTCGTTCATCCGGCTCGGTTTCCTGAGCCATGTCGCTGACTACAGTGGTCTCAACCGTGCTGCTCTCGCTGCTCCTTCAACCTTCCCTTTGTCAAACGCCCATGAACATGCGTAAGTTTCCACTTTCCTGCGTAATTTTCTAGCTGAAGTCTTCATTGACATTATTACCATAATGAGTGAGAAAGTACATGTATAGTCCTGGGGAAACTAAGACTGTTTTGTGAAAAACGTTGCGTTTCTTTCGGAAACTCGTGTTATAATAATTTAAAGTTTATTTCATATTTCTTAGAACGACCATCGATTTTTTATTGACTAATTTTGTTAATGTAATGTTTAAAAGTAAATGTCAGTGAGAATCGATTTGATTCGTTAAAGATTGACCGGGTCGCGTGAATGTTTGATATGTTTCCGATACAACGCGAAAACTTCCCGGTACCGTCGTCGTCGCTGAATTATTCAGCGCGGTGAGCGTCTGACTAAAACCTTCCGGATCTCCTGGCCCGCTTCGTTTCACAGTCCTTGATATAAAAACAAATTGAAAAAGACGCCTCTTTATGCCCGTTTTTAACCAGCGTACAATTTCCTTTTTATTATACAATAAAATTTTTTTCCAATATCGACAAGTTGCATCTGTTTGTTTTGATAACCATGTAGTTATTCTATAAGGAAAAAAATAGTCGGTTTGCGTGGTAAGAATTCCTTTAGATAATTGTCATACGATTAGATTTTGATCTACAATGAAGTCGCATAAGCAATGTTGTAATAAATGAGATTCGCGTGTACGGTCGAATTAGATGTCACTTTAATATCACCAGAATGTGGGTGAAAAAATATTAATTCAGTTTAAGTGCTAAATGTTTTTTCTACAGTAATAGTGTTCGGGGAACGAGACACGTCGATTCTCAGTCTCTTAAACGAAGCTGTACCTCAGGCTGAGAAAAGTTTCGGCGAAGATATAATCACTGTCCACATATCTACCGTTTCTGTGGATCGAACAGACGTCGTTGCGAGTTTTCAAAAAGGTTAAACATTTTTTTATAAGAATATAAATTGTCAGACTGTTGATTTTATTCATAGACAGATTGAAATATATTAAAATCTGAATTCATGAAATCTTTTCTATACGAATTTTTAAACTTGTATCTTGGATTAAGGTCTGCAGTCGACAAATTATTCTTGTCTGTCGCAGTGTGTGCAGCCTTGTATAAGGGAGTCAGTATTATACTCGACATGACCTGGACGGGGTGGGAACGGCTACAGATTTTGGCAGACGAGAACGGAATAATATACAAACGGGGCGATTGCAGTATAAACGCGTACGTCCAAGCGATCGACGATCTTTTGATGTTGAAGAACGCGACGGACGTTGGCCTGATCTTCGAAGATGAAAGGGGTACGGCCTTCGATCATCCTCCCAATCTTCGATTATTCTTGCAACCTTGTTTAGATATCGATCATTTTTACAGAGCTGAATCAGAGCCTTTACTATCTCATAGGGAATTCGATCATAAGGCTGGTGGTGATCGACGAATTTACGGAGAAGACCGTATCGAGAATTAGGAGCATGAGGCCGTCGCCTTCTTATTATGCTATTTACGCTACTGCGAATAAAATGGAGGATCTTTTCAGAACGGTAAATCCTTAAAATTAGAGAAATATTATAAAGAAAATCAAATTTAAATAATATTAATTAAACTGCGGACTTTAACGTAAAATAAAACTTTTAGAGTATCAATTTAAAAATGATACTTAATGCAGAAAATCCGCACTCTAATAATAATATAATAATAATACAATGATGAAAAAAGAAACACCTATTATAAATAAATATTAAAGAGACAATCTATTTAGGCTGTCCAAGGTGGACTGGTGAGAAGAGATGGAATATGGAACCTGGTTTTCACTGACAATAATTACAAAGACTTTAAATACGTCAATGGAGAAATGCAATTAAACGTATCTATCACGATCTTATCAATGAAATTGAACGTCTGCTGTAGATTACTCAACGAACCATCTTGCAGCTGCCCTCCTGATTTTCAAGTATACAAAACTATTTCGCTGCGTCTATTACACGTGTACAGTGTGTCTCATAAAATGCTAATTTTTATACAGATTTTCTCGCATTACTTTAAACGATTGATAGGTCTGTTAGTAAATATGATGAGCGATCTTCAAAAATCTGGCATCAGCGTAGAACCGAAGAGTGGGAAATGTTCCGCGGAGAATCAGACTCAAGCTTCGAACGTCACATCCGAGGCGTTCAACAAGAATTTATTAGCGGTGATTTGGAATATATTTCAAAAATAATTGAAGATAAAATACATTAATGTTTATTTTTATAAATATTGTAACAGAAATTAGGAGGTAATGACACTTTCGAGTACTGGTCCGACAAAGCGATGATCACGTACAAAGCTGAAATCGAGTTTGAGACTCTCGAGAATGGAATGCTAGAGCCACTGGCTACCTGGACCAGGCAGACTAAAATCAAAGAAGTCGAAGGGAAGAAGATTGTATCTGCCAGGAGATTCTTTCGAATTGGAACTACCCCCGTAATTAATTACTCAGTCTAACAGAAACAAAGATTTTTCATTTTTTACAATATGCTCTATGCGAATCTTATAGAGAATACTTCATTTTCCCGAAAATCATGCATTTTCGCAAAAATCTCTGTTTTTAGGAAACAGAGCATTTGCGCTTCCGGATTTGTTTTTGACTTGAGAAACTCTATAAGAATCACATAATAGATAGTACAAAAAAAATTTTGTATCATACAGTGTTAGTTACAAACTGATTAAAATTTATCTACATTTAATTCATGCGTATATTGAAAATTAGTCGATACCCTGGATGATGCCTATGATGGATCCGAAAACTAACAAACAGATGAGGAACGAGCACGGTCGAGAAATGTGGGAGGGATACTGTATAGATTTTATAAAAAAATTATCAGAAGAGATGCAGTTTGATTACGATCTCGTTATACCGCAGGATCGGCAATTTGGGAAGAAATTACCTAACGGGCAATGGGACGGTTTGATCGGAGACCTTGCGAAAGGGGTA